TTGTGTCCTTTGTTATGTTCCCCTTTTCGTTTCTGATTTTGTTAATTTGCATGTTCTCTCTCTGCTTTTTCGTTAATTTAGATAAAGGTTTGTCTATTTTGTTGATTTTCTCAAAAAACCAACTCTTCGTTGCATTGATTTTTTTTGTATTGTTTTCCTGGTTTCTATTTTGTTGATTTCAGCCCTCAAGTTGATTATTTCCTGGTGTCTACTCCTATGGCGTGAGTTCGCTTCTCTCTGTTATAATGTTTGCAGTTGTGCTGTTAATTCTCTTATGTGACTATTCTCTGTTTTCTTCATATGGGCACTTCTTGCAATGAACTTCCCTCATAGCACTGATTTCAAGGTGTCCCATAAGTTCGGGTATGTTGTGTCCTTATTCTCGTTGAATATTAGAAAGTCTTTAATTTCTTTATTTCTTCTTTGACCCAGGTGTGGTGCAATTGCAAATTGTTCAGTTTCCATGAGTTTGCAGGTTTTCTGCTATTTGTGTTGTTGTTGAAGTCCAATTTTAAAGCATGGTGGTCCGATAAGATACAGGGGACTATTTCTATTCTCTTGTATCTGTTGAGGTTTGTTATGTCTCCTAGTATGTGGTCGATTTTAGAGAAGGTTCCATGTGGAGCAGAGAAGAAGGTATATTCTTTTGTCTTTGGATGGAATGTTCTATAGATGTCTGTTAGCCCCAGTTGAGACATAACTTCTGTTAATTCTTTTGTTTCTTTGTTGAGTTTCTGATTTGTGGTCCTGTCTAGTGTTGAGAGTGGTGTATTGAAGTCTCCCACTATAAGTGTGTGAGGTTTTATATGAGCTTTGAGTTTTAGTAGCATTTCTTTTACGAATGTGGGTGACTTTGTATTAGGGGCATAGATGTTCAGAACTGAGACTTTGTGTTGATGGATTCTGCAAAGAATCCGAAATGACCATCTTCATCTCTTTTGATCAATTTTGATCTAACTTGTCTAACTTGTTAGATATTAGGATAGCCATGCCTGCTTGCTTCTTGGTTCCATTTGATTGGAAAATCTTTTCCCAACCCTTTACCCTGAGGTAATGTCTATCTTTGAAGCTTAGATGTGTTTCTTGTATGCAACAGAAGGATAGATTCTGTCTTCGTATCCATTCTGTTAGCCTGTGTCTTTTTATAGGTGAGTTGAGACCATTAATGTTGACAGTGAGTAAGGACCATTGATTGTTGATGCTTGTTTGATTTAGGTTTGTTGTTGGCAGTGGTATTGTGAATATATTTGTTCTGCTTTACCCTTGGTTTCTGGTGTAGTTAGATTATCTGTTGCCTACATTCTTGTGGGCGTAGGTACCTTCCTTGGGTTGGAGTTTTCCTTCCAGTACTTTCTGTAGAGCTGGATTTGTAGATACGTAATGAAAATCTGGTTTTGTCATTAAATATCTTATTTTCTCCATCTATAGTGATTGAGAGTTTTGCTGGGTACAGTAGCCTAGGCTGGCATCCATGTTTTCTTAATAATTGTAGAACTTCATTCCAGGACCTTCTGGCCTTGAGTGTTTCCATGGAGAAGTCAGGTAATTTTGATAGGTCTGCCTAATATGTTACCTGTCCTTTTTCCTTCGCTGCTCTTAATATTCTTTCTTTATTCTGTATGCTAGGTGTTTTGATTATTATATGTCGAGGGGTCTTTTTTCTTTGGTGCAGCCTATTTGGGGTTCGGTATGCTTCTTACACTTTCATGGGCATGTCCTTCTTTAGATTGGGAAAGTTTTCCTCGATGATTTTTTTGAATATGTTTTCGGCACCTTTGAGCTGGGCTTCCTCACCTTCCTCTATGCCTATTATTGTTAGGTTTGGCCTTTTTTCATGGTGTCCCACATTTCCTGGATGTTTTGTGTTAAGGATTTGTTGGAGTTATGATTTTCTTTGGTCGATGAATCTATTTCTTCTAGTTTATCTTATGCGCCTGAGATTCTCTCTTCCATCTCTTGAATTCTATTGGTTATGCTTGTGTCCGTAGTTGCCGATTTTTTGCCCAGCTTTTCAATTTCCAGCATTCCTTCCGTTTGTGTTGCCTTTATTTTCTCAATTTCAGTTTTCAAGTCTTGAACCGTTTCCTTCACCTGGTTAATTGTTTTTTCTTGGCTTTCTGTACTTTCCTTAAGGAATTTGTCCATTTCTTCCACCTTTTTTGTTTGTTTTTTCCTCCATTTCTTTAAGGGATTTTCTCACATTTTCTTTGAGGGCTCTATTATTTTTTATGACGGTAATTTTTAAGTGTTCCCTTCTGCTTCCTCTTCTTTGTTGTGTTCCATTCTAGTTGGTGTAGATTCCCTAGATTCTGGTGGTGTCATGCTTGTCTTTCTGTTGTTAGGTGTTTTCTTGTATTGCTGTCTTCCTATAGCTTCTTCCAATAGGTGTTGGTGGGGTCTTCCCCTTTCTCTGTGGTACTTCTCTGGTGGGCTTATGTGGGTCAGAGGTTCAATATCTGTAGCTCTGGGTGGTCCAAGCTCTATAGGAGGTCTCTCCGCAGACAGGGACCCTGGGATGGGGTTAGGGATGAGGAACAAGTAGAAGATGTCTGTAGAAACTCAGAGTGGTCCTTTAGAGATAGGTGCGTCTTTGGGAGGGGACCGGTCTCCAGCAGAGGATTTAAGTTGGGGGTGAGAGACCAAGCAGGTGGGAATTACGGGTGGTCCCATGTGGAGAGGCCGGTCTCCTGTGTTCAGATTAGCTCTGAGAAGTCCCCCCCGACGTCGTGTGAACTCTAGCCAATGGCTCTAGCCAATGGTTGGCAGAAGAGGACAAAGGCTGGGCTGATACTCTGGATGTTTCTGCAGAGATAGTTGGATCTCACTGGGAACTGGCACTCTCCAGCTGAGGCCTCTTTCTTTAACAGAGGCCCTGCTTTGGGGGTCAAGGATCTTGCTGGGGGGAACTCAGAGTGGACCAGCAGAGATAGGAGGATCTTTGGGAGGGGCCGGGAACTCCAGCAGAGGACTGGAGGTGGGGGGGGTGGTTCAGAGACCAAGCAGGTGGCAATTACAAGTGGTCCTGCATGGATAGGCAGGTCTCCTTTGTTCAGAGTTGCTCTGAGAAGTCCCCGAAGTCGGGTGGACTGTTGGCTCCACCCTCTGTCCCAGTGCTCAACCAGAGGGCAGTCGGCAGGGCAGGGCACAGGGTGGGGGGGCAGGCACACGGTGATTATGGGTGGGGGGGGTCTATCAGAGCTCCAAGAGTGCTCTTGATGGGGACAGGACACAGGAGCAGCGGGATCAGGGGCCAACCTAAGGAGTTGGGGGGGTGTAGGGGAGAGGCCTCCCCAATTGGGCCCATACACCTATAGTCAATGGCTGGCGGAAGAGGACAAAGGCTGGGCTGATACTGGGAAGTTTCTTCAGGATAGTCAGGTCTCACTGGGAACTGGCACTCTCCAATTATGTTTTTAATTGGTTAACCCTTAGAGTGTTGTTAAACAACTTAGCTAACATTGCATGCTGTTGTTAGAGCAGTGTTCTCCTATCTTAGGTCCTGTTTATGTTTCAGGCTTTCCTAGTAGGGTCCTTTTATAGCTAAAGATCATTGCCATTGGTTTTTATACAATGGTGTATCTAGAATATGTAGACTTCAGTTCTTTTTTATTCTTTAATGACTTTGGTATTTTACAATGGCCTTTGGTTTTGGTGTGCTTGTTTTCTTGTGATTTACACTGGTGTGAAATGGGCAATAGTAGTATGACACTGAGCCAATATAATACCAGTGCTTGTTTGTATTGCCAAGTTCAACATTTGAAATACAGGATTTTGTATTCTTTTTAAAAATTTACTTATGACTATTCTATATATGCATGTGGGGGTTGGAGGTCAACCTAGTGGAGGCAGTTCTCTCCTTCACCTTCATGTGCTTTCTGGGGATTAGACTCAGATGATCAGGCTGGCCCAGCAAGTTCTTTACCTGCTAACTATCTCTCTGGCCCAGTTTTTTTATTAGAATAAAAAATTTTATATGTTTGTTATAAACATGATGCTAAGATGTATTGATAGTTAAATAGTAAAATATATATTGATAGTAAAATAGTTTTCATAGTAAAATTAACATGCATTGTGTTATAGTTAGTCCAACTAATAAGATCTCAGTAAGGTATATTATTATGAGTTTTATTCTTATATTTTGTATTAGATCTTTAGGCTTAATTATCCTTTATCTTTGCTACAGATATTTTCTGTATATCTCTGACCTACATTTTCTCATATCCTGTCCCTTAAACCTGTTAACCATGGTTTATTCTCTTTATATCATCTTCTTTTATATTTAAAATATAAGGTTGAGAAATAGTCTTTTTGGGTCCTCCCAAATTCAAATCTTACTTTATTCTTTTGAGGCCCTCCCAAATTCAAATCTTTATTCTTTTGAGGTAGGATCTTGTTATATGTATCTCAACTGTCATCCTGCCTCAGCCTCCCACATGCTTAGATTACAGACATGTGTCACTATGTCTGTATCTTCTTAAGCTACGTTGTGTGTATCCATGTGTCTGATATATTAAAAGCATTAAACATAACTAATGTGGTGAATACATTATTCATGCCGGCTATTGGTGGTACACTCCTTTAATCCTAGCACTGGAGAGGCAGAGGCAGGTGGATTTCTGTGAATTCAAGGTCAGCCTGGTCTACAGAGAGAGTTCTAGAACAGGCCCCATAGCTACAGAGAAACCCTGTCTTGAAAAACCAAAAAAAAGAAAAAGAAAAAAGTACATTAAAATCTAATGATCTGCTGCCTCATAGATGCTTATTTGTAAAGTGGCAGTATGTTAGAAGTATAGTATGCCATAAGGAAGAATCATTCTTAATTTTAAAAAAGCTCTGAAGTTTACTTTCATTCATGATGTGCTAAGAACTTCTCAAAGATTTTGTGGCCATGGAAATAGGAATTCATACACTACATTTTACAGTCCTATTACTACTTGCTGGCAAATCATGTTGCTTTGTTCTCTTTTCTTATTAATAGAGGGGCCTTATCTCTCTACTAGGTGTTCCATTCCCGAAGAATTTCATGTCCGTGGCAAAAACAATTCTCAAACGACTCTTTAGAGTTTATGCTCACATTTATCACCAACATTTTGATCCTGTGATCCAGCTTCAGGAGGAAGCACATCTCAATACATCTTTCAAGCACTTTATTTTTTTTGTTCAGGTAAGTTGACTCATAAGGCTTTTTTTGCTTCATGTTTATTTTTAGAATTCTGTGATGAATATACAACATCAGAACTCCTAACACTTTCCATGGTGTAATGACAGTCCTTTTGCGTCTTAATTTCATTAGTCTACCAGTTCATGGTGGCAACTCTGAAAACAGTTCCAGGACCACTTGTCTTGCTTGGACTGCGTCAATTTTTAGGCTACATGATGGGCTAAATAAGAAATCTGAATAGTGAGTCTGATATGATGTTACTTGTCTATAATCTTGGCACTCAAGAGGCTTAAGTGTAAGGATTGAGATCAAGGGCAACAAGCAAAACCAAAGGACAAAATATTCTTCCTTTGAAAGTGTTTGTTTTACTTTACTCTGTAGCCATAAAGTATACTGTTTGCTATGTGCTAGCAAGTGGTGGGGAGTCAATTTAGAGTATTTATACATCTTATCCTCCTAGCAACACTTTGATTAAGAGGATCACTTGCTTGTGCCTCGGAACTTAGAGAATCTTGCTCTGACCCATACAGTCTAGGCACTACAGGGCCAACAACATAGTCACATGGTATGTATCCCATCTATTCTTAGTCTGGCCACCATAGATCTGAGGGGGTAGGCTTGTAATATTAAGTCTCACAACTATCTCTGATGAGATCTGTTGTCCTCTTCTGGTATGCATGAATGCATGAGGGCAGAAAGCTGAATACAAAACAAACAAAAAATCTTAAAAGGAACAGATATAGTACCTTGGTTATTAGCAGTTTCCACTTACTGATTGGTAGTGTGTTCCAGGCTTTACATGACGTAGTTAACAGTGGTTACCACATTTAGTTTCCATAATAATTTTCTGAGTTAAGGGGGATTTATTTTTATATTATAATGTGAAAACAGCATCAAGAATGTCATGTGATTTCTTTAAGGTAGTGAATGTTTTTTAAAAAATGAAGTTTACTTTTACTTCAGAAGCTTGTATTCATAATAATCTGCTTTGGGATTAGAAGTGAATAATGTTTTGCTGTTTGTAGGAGTTCAACCTTATTGACAGAAGAGAACTTGCACCACTCCAAGAACTGATTGAGAAACTCACCTCAAAGGACAGATAAAAGGATGAAAAGCTGCAGTTCTTCCTCCACGGGAGCTATATGGCTGTATTTGGGCCTTTGTTATATTTTGTTTTTATGTGGATTGTTTGTCTTAGGTTTGGAGGCTTGCTTGGATTCCCTTTTCTCTTCTGAATATATAAAATCATTTTGTTGTTAGAGGAAGCTAAGATTCATTTTCTACCTTTGAAAAGGGCGAATTTTGTCTTAGTGTTGTATAGTGTTTTCTTTCTTTTTTTTTATGTTTTCTTTTTATTAACCTGGTTTTGGTTACTTGAGGACTTTTAAAGATATTGTATGCTGGAAACAAGTAACTGACTGAAATGCAGATGGATTGGACTCTGTTGTGTAAATTGTGGCCCACTTTGAAGTCCCTAAAAAAAGACTTATGTGTTCTTAAGTGCCTTGATAGGCTCACTTCTGAGGTGCAAAGCACAGATATAGGACTGAGCAGAGCTTGAAACAATATTAGAATTTCTATCTAGGGCACTTACTTGTGCATGTTGTAAAGTAATCTGTTATAAAAGCCATAGTTTACTCAAGTTGATGATATCCAGCTTTTACTACATTGAAAAAACATAATTTGTAAAGTTGTGCATGTAGAACATAAATGTAAAACAACAAAAATCATTTCTTAATTATTTTTGACATAATTTGTAAAGATGTGCATGTAGAACAAATCTAAAACAACAAAATTCTTAATTATTTTTGATATTGTCTAACATATTCTGTTCAATAGATATTTAAAGTTCTACAAGCAGGTCTTTTTCCATCTCTTAATATCTGTGATATTGAAATTTGAGGATGTTGAAATGTAATAGCTATTGCATTTCAACTTCTTTTTACATGCTAAGTGCACTGTAAGTGTAAAACTTCAGGTTATTTATAGACTTGCCATCTTCAGAAAGGATGCTGAACTGCGAGGTTTCCTAGCAATTGCCAAATGAGCCATAAGTGCAGAACTCCCTTGTACTTCAAAGAGGGAGGAAAGATGAGAATGGTTGGTGTCAGGCATCAGTTTGTTTGGGAAATCAAAAGAGAAAGGATTAAGTGTGGGGAGTCAAATTCTAGAAAGTCCTGTTTTAAAACCTTGGGATAGAATAGTGTTTATTACTTATAAACAAAGTCTTAAAGGCTTCCTTTTAGAAATCAGCTTCCATGAGAAGTTAAAAATAAATACTTAGTTTTAGGTACAGACATTAAACATGGAATTTAATGACTATTTGGGGAAATCAATCACTTTTTAGCATTTCCATTCAGTGAATGGAGCTGGTATTTGCCTGTCATTTTAAATGATACACTACCTTGATTATTGGTGCAGTATGAAGCATCCTGACTTCTTATTTTTCCACTGTGAAATCTGTTTTCTTTGTGGTAATATCAAATAATGAAAATGCTAGCTCAGCAGTTAATAACTTTTCATTTTAGTTGATGTGATGTTCTGTTGAATTGTCATCCTCAATTACAAGTTTAGGAATTTGGTTTCTAGAATAAATATTGAGCCCCCCCCCACCAGTTTTGTTCTTGAGAAATACTCTTTTCATATTCTGTTATAATTTTGTCAGTTTGGCTAAATCTGTCTTCCTTTCTCTTTTTCTCTCTGTAGTTAGAGACACATGCCTTTCCCCTAATAAAGTAGAAATGTTTGCTCTGAATTCGTATGCAAGTACATAGTGGAGGAGTCTAAAGTGAAGTAAATTTGGTTTTGTCAATAACAAGTGTACAGTAATAGAATTGAATGCCCTTGCAACTATGATCACTAGGAACTGCCTTTTTCTCCATTTCGTTTCTCTAGTGGTGATTGCTCACCAAGTACCAATAATAAGGAACAAAAGAGCTTGGAAAAGGTAGATAATACTGGGCATTTATTAGTAGTGTTTATTTATGAACTGACAGCTACCTAATTTTCTTAAAATATTTTTTTTTAAGTATCTAAATAGTATCATGCATTATGTGTTGCTTCAGAATTCTGATGTGAGTCCTCTCTGTACAGGAAATGAAACCCATAATTACTCACTGAAAGTCTTCCACAGTATATTGACTTCATATCACTCTAGAAACTAGGGGCTTCCATAGCAGTACCATGTAGAGAGATAAGTGAGTGAGAGGTTGTTTCTGGTCCTTTAAGCCTTACATACAGTATGCTGTAAGAATGGAGAAGTAGTCCTAGAAATGAGTGCTTGGTAGTAGGACTTACCTTCCCACTATACTAGGTAGGAGTTATTTTCACTGTGCCAGAATCTCAGGTGCCATGGTTCCAAGTAGTTCCTCAGTATGGGGAAATGAGAAAAGTGTGTGTGTGTGTGTGTGTGTGTGTGTGTGTGTGTGTGTGTGTGTATGTGTGTGTGTGTGTATGTGTGTATATATATATATATATATATATATATATATGTATGTATGTATATATATATATATATGGTAAGAAAGAGTGGTTCTCTTGGGGAAAGGCCTGGCAAGTGTACATGGTGGTAGATGGCTATAAGTCAGGAAACACTAGGACTCAAGAGAATCAGTTTAATAAAAACTTGCTTTGAGAGTACAGTGCCCTTTTATAAAATGAGTATCAAAGTTTATTTTGCAGGAGAGCTTCCTTATATTTTCAGATCCTTTAATTTATAAATAATTACCTCTGTTTTTCTTTTTTTTTTTTTTTTTTTGAGACTGGGTCTCTATGTAGCCATGGCTACCCTGGAACTCACTATGTAGACCAGGTTGGTCTCAAACTCACAGAGATCCCTTGCCTATGTACCGTATATGCTAGAATTAAAGGTATGCACTACAACGTGTGGCTACCCCATTTTTATACAGTTGTGAAAGTTCAAGTTGGGCCGGGTGTTGTTGGCGCATGCTTTTAATTCCAGCAGAAGCAAGCAGATCTCTGTGAGTTCAAGGACAGAGCTAGTTCCAGGACAGACTCCAAAGCTACAGAGAAATCCTGTCTCGAAAACCAAAAAAGTTCAAGTTGTTTTCCTCACTTTTTCATAAGCTCATCCCATACAATTGAATGTAGTAAGTTATCATTATGTTGTTTGGTTATATGTGGGTACGATGAAGCAAGTTTTAGGAGTGATTTAGTTGTGGAGTAGTGGGGATGAAAAAAGCTGACTGAGTTAAATGTTTGTGTGAACAGTAGGTGGTGCTGCTGGCCTTGTTCACTTGCTGACTTGGTTCTTCCACTCCCCCACAAAAGCCATGCCTTAGATTGCCCCCAGACCGTGGGCGTGTGTGTTGGTGGGTGGCTTTGGAGCTCTGTGCATTTGAAAATGGAAGTTTAGGTTATTGCCTAAATTCTCTGTTGTAAATTTTAAGTGGTCAACATAAAATGTATTAGGTAGCAGAGTATATTTTTAATGAGTATTTCTGACTGAGTTACTACCTGGATTATCAGGATGGATGAAGCACTACAATCTCTTCCCAGAAAATAGAAATATGGTATTTATATTTTGCATATGTACTCACTAGGTTTCATGTTATTTGTAATGAGTATTTTCCATGCTTATGGGAAAAGTAGCAAAACAACAGATTTCTTTTGTAGCTTTGTCTACACCCTCTCTGAGAGAGGTTTTGATAACCACTGAAATGGTAGATTATGTGAGATGCAAGTACTAAGTTGTGGAACTTTTTTTAAAAATGAGTATGTTGAACCTTAACATCCAAATGAGAGTTGACTTTCAAAGCAGTTCTCTTTGGATCACAGTTTATTTCAATTATGTTGCAAAGTATATTTCTAGAACTTTGTAATGTATCATTGGTGCTTTGAGAATTGGCTTATGACTACATAAGAAAAAGCAGTTTTATCTTTTCAGTTGCACAAAAACAATATTTGAAACTTAATAGAACTCACATTAGTTACTAAATCAAGTTCATTACCTTGGCTTTCCTTTGAGAACCAAGCCAGTGTTTTATGCTCTAAATCTTCAGAGAAGACTGCTAAAGACATTAACTGCATCACAGACTAGAATAGTTTCCTGATATCACAATTACAAGTAGGAACCATAATTTACATGTGAAAACATTTTTAAAAATTCAGTTTAATTACTTTGTATTTAAATAGAATTTTAAACCTAAAGTCTTTCTCTAGAACTTGCTCTGTTTCTTCCCCCTCCCTTTTCCTTAAAAGTTTTGAATTGTGTAGGATAGTTTTGATTGCGAGGATAGTATGGAAAAGTGGATGCATTTTTTTTAAAACAGCAATTCAAAGAAACAAAGTCTTTACCTCTGTTGTATTCTGTTTTATTTTAAACAGGTTTTTCTTTTAATCTGACTTTTAATTAAAGACTAGATAGAAGTTGATGTACAGGAAAATTGGAATAAAATTTTATTATTATGCAAAATTTTAACCTGCCTATCATGAATAGCATTTAAAATTATGTAAGCATTCAGCACATATCATTCATACCATTAAATTCTTTAAAAAAACTTTTTTTACTTTTTGTTTTTTCATAACATTAAATTCGGATTGTCTTTTGAAAATATACTGAACCAAAAGTTTATTTGTAATTTGGAATGTGATTGCATATTAGGAAAACATCTTATTTTGAAACTTATATGACATATTAAAGAATTTACCCCTTATAAACACAGCTCAGTCTTGAAGTATTGCTCCTAATGGACTTTAAGCATTAGGATTTTGCCATAACATAGAGATTTTACCATAGGAGCCTCTGTTACCAGCATGATTATATATGAGTAATAAATAAAGATCTGTTTCAAGATTTAATAGGAAAGTTTAACAAACAGCAGACATGCAATAGGATTTGAATGCAAATGGTTTGAATTTTTAAGGCTTTCCTCAGAAGTTCATCAGTGAGAATTAGTTTTGAATGTATGAGACTGCCATCCTCTCTGTCCACCACTCATAGTTGTACTCTGACAGAAGGGAAGGATATACAAACTAAAATATTGAGCCCTCAGTTTTATAAGTGTGTGGTGCAAGTTCCTCATGCAAATTCCTCTTCCCTTTCTTCTTCCTTCCCTCCCTCCCGCTCTCCCTCTTTTGCATACAGTGCTACACAATTCTCAAACATGAAATCACTGGCCTTTACGGATTCGTGGTTTCCCACTCTGCATCTGTCATGTACACCTGCTCACATTCACTCAAGGCTGATTTTACAGTTTATCATTGTTAGTAGTTCTGAAGCATTGTTGACATACAGGTTTTCTTTTGTTTGCTTGGCAGGTTTTTGGTTTTTTTGTTTTTTCTTTTTTAATGTCACCAAAGCTGCAGCTATTGGTAATATAAAGTAACAATTTTCTAATTTCTCTCATAATTATTCTTATAGATGGATATTTCTTGTAGTTTTGCACAAATTTTTGTTTCTGAAATAAGTTGTATAGGTTGTAAAATATACTAGTGCATTTTCATTTCAGAACACCTTTTTTCCTTAAATTGTTTTGCAGAAATGACTATTTTTAGGGAAAATAGGTTTTTTATAGCTACTAAATTTTATTTGTTATTTTTGTATATGCATAACTAGGGTGGTGGAATCACTAATATTTTAGGGAAAAACCTTTGTTCTATTTGATTTTTTTTCCCTATACATTTTAAGGTATTATTTAAAATTGTTGGTAGAAATAGTGTCATGATAAAGTCAAATCATTTCTGAAGACAAAAATCAGAAATACTGCCAATTCCAAGTGATGGAGGCGGAAGGGCAGCATTCGCATTGTATACTTGCTTAAGATATGCATGGAGACAATAATCTGTTCTCATGAGGGGACAGGTTCTCTAGTAAGGTAGTTAGATGGGACAAAAATGATCTAAAATATGAACTGCAGTGTGGGCGCCATATTGTAAATTGTGCCAGGATTATACAAATTGTAGTTATCGATCAAAGTTTAATTGTTTCATTATTGTTCTTTTAAAGGAAACACTGAATGTCAGAAAATCTGTAATATGTTTTATTTGAGAGATGTAAATAATGTACACAGCCTCATGTGGTGGAATGGGAGGTATTTAAATTCTAGGTTTTTTTTTTTTTTTTAAAGGAAGAAAATGTTTATAAGAAAAAAAAATCCTAATAAATAGTTATGTTTGGCCATGAATCCTGACTTCACATTACTATTTATTTTTGTTATAGGTATTTCTACCCTGAACACATTTCAAAGCAACATGAAGGTATATAGAACATATTGAAAGTTTCAAAATTTGTTAGGCAGTACTTTCTCAGAATAGTGGAAGTTACCATCTACCTTACACTCCAGAAAACTAAAGTTCAGAAATTGTACATGTTATTGGGTTTAGGGCTTATATATGCCTGAATTTAATGTTTTCTTTAGTATATACTATTGCAGTGAAAACAAAGCAAAACTGTGGTAGAATATTATTTTAAGGTGTGTGACTTTTTTTTATGTTGCATTTGTTTAACTCTGTAAAGCTGTTGGTCCTAATGAAGAGCTATACGGCCAGTGGCAAGGCAGGAGCAAGGATAGGCGGGGCTGGCAGGCAAAGAGAATAAATTGAAGGAGGAAGAGGAGCAGCAAGAGAACAAGGAGAGGAGGATAACAGGGGCCAGCCAGCCATAGAGTAAGAAGGAAGTAAGATAAAAGTCCAGAGGGAAAGGTAGATGGGTTAATTCAAATTAAGAAAAACTGGCTAGCACCAAGCTTGCTAAGGTCGGCCACTCATAACTAAAAATAAGCCTCCGTGTGTGATTTATTTTTGAGCTGGGTGGCGGGATCCCCCAAAAGGCAAAAAGTAAAAAACAACCTCTGACACAAAACAGCATAATAATAAAATATTTGTGGACCTTTCTACTGAATTAAGAAATTATCTATTTTGCTGGGTGGTGGTAGCAAAGGCCTTTCAGCACTCAGGAAGCAGAGACAGATGAATCTCTGTGAGTTTGAGGCCAGCCTGGTCTACAGAGCGAGTTCAAGACAGTCTCCAAAGCTACAGAGAAACCCTGTCACAAAAGGTAATTTTATCTTCATTATAAATCGTTCCACATGTAAATATGGTGGAAAGCTGCTAAGGAACAACACACACACCACACACACACAATTTTATGTTTGTATATATGTACCAGTATGCATGCAGGAGCCTGTGGAGGTCAGAGGCATTGGATTCTCTGGATCTGGAGTTATAGATGGTTGTAAGCTGCCATGTGGAAGCTGGGAATAGAACCTGGGCCCTTTACAAAGGCAACCAGTACACTTAACCCATGAGCCATCACTCAGTCTCTTAATTGAAAACATTTTTTTCATTTTTTGTAAAATGTATTCTGATTATGGTTTCACTTCCCTCAACTCTTCCAAGACCCTGTGTCTCCACCCACCCAAATCTATACCCTCTTTTCTTATGAGAATACAAACAGGTTTTTAAAAATAGTAATAAAATACAATAAACACAAGCCAGCAGAGGATGAACAAACTACCAGGAGAAAATCAAGGTACAAGAAGCACAAATAGACTCAGACACACACACACACACACACACAAATATTAAAACATAACACTGGAAATTGTAATGTAAATTCAAAAGACCTGTAAGGAGAAAAAACAAAGCTAATGCCCAGACAAAGCATTGAGTCAAGGAATTTCCAAAAATGCCATTGACTATGTTTTGTGTTGGCCATTTACTGCTGGGGTATGTCCTTAAGAGTAGTTTGTATCCCCAGTGATGCTCCATTGGAAAAAACTAATTTTTCTTTTGCAAATGATTATCATTCAGAGATAACTTCTGGTTTAGGGATAGTAGGGGGAGGGCATGTGTTAGCTTCTTTCAGCTCTAGGACACCAACTGGCTTAGACCCATGCAGGGGATGTGCATGCTGTCACAGTATCTGTGAGTTCATAGTGTGCTGGTCTTGAGCCTCATTTCCTTGATGTCCTCCATCATTTCTGATTCCTACACTTTCTGATTCCTTCTGTAAGGTTCCCTAAGCCCTAAAGGGAGGGGTTTGATGGAGACATCCATGTAGGACTGAGTATTCTAAGGTCTCTCACTCTGCACTTTCTTTGTTGGTTTCTGTTTCCATCTACTGTAGGGGGAAGCTTCTCTGATGCTGTCAGACTGAGGCACTGACCTAGGGGTGCTTTTTTGCAGGGCTCCTTGAGCAGAACAGTATTTGCATGTACTCTAGGTCCCTGGCCTATCTAATGTCAGGCCACCTTAGCAGTGTCAGGTATGGGTTCCATCACAGGAAGCGGGCCTTAAATTCAATCAGTCTACAGACTCACTTTTAAATTTCTGCTCTTTGTTTTGAGGTTTAAACCCAGGACAAATGGTTGAGGTGCCTATTTAACATTTCAAAGTGGAATTGGCTGCCAGATTCTCCCAGCATCCTTTAGTCCCTACCTGTTACAGGTTATGGCTGACATACTCCACCCTGAATTCTCCAGCCCAGGAGCTTGACTGCCCTTCCCCAAGAGGCTCTTCCCTATGTAACCCTGACATGTTGGTTACCCGTTCCTTTTTGTACCTATGGCCTTTCTGGGGCTGCACTTGATTCCTCTCTCTCCCCTCTCTCTACCTTTTCTTTCCCCACATGGCCCAACTCAATCTGGTCATGTCCACTCTGGACTCTCCTAGATGTTCCTGCTTCTATTTATGCTCTCTCTTTTATCTATAATACACTTTCTCCTCCACCATACCTAGGAGCATTCATGTCCTCTCCTTTTTTATCTTTTTTTTTTTTTTTTTTTCTTCAGTAAGTCTCCATTTCTCTGCTGCTAGGTCCATTTGAAGGACATATTTCAGGCCAAATAATAGTTACAAGCTAAAAGATAATAACGAGTCCCTTAGGTTTTTTGTTGTGTTTTTTTTTTTTTTTTTTTTTTTTTTTTTGCTAATTTGAATTGATTGGGGTAATCTGTTTACTAGGTCTTTACCCTGACTGAAAATGAACTGCATCTGTCTGTAGCTCAGTCTTCTGAGTGCATATAAATTGATGTGTGTGTGCGCAGAGTACATCTCTATATAAACATACGTATATGACATTAAAAACTACATGAGCCAGACAGTGGTGGTGCAGACCTTTAATCCCAGCACTGAGAAGGCAGAGGCAGGTGGATATCTGAGTTCGAGGCCAGCCAGGACAGGCTTCAAAGCTACACATAGTTTTTGTCATAAAAACAAGCAAAAAATGATTATCACGTCTTAGACGATGGACAAGCATGTTAAGTGACAACCAAGATACGGAGAAACAGACCTAGCGCTAGGTAACTACAAACAGCATAGCTAAGTTTGCAATTTAGAGCGGAGGGCAAGCCCCGCCCTTGCTCTCCTACGGCTCACGGAGCAAGTCCCGCCCCCTGTCCTCCGAGCTCATCGCGGAAGCCCGGTCCCTGCCCTCCCAGGGCTCACCGTGCAAGCTCCGCCCCCTGCCCTCCGGGTCCCGGGACCCACAGCGCGCCGGGAGGAACAACGCGGCGGGCGCCGCCGGCTGGAGAGGGAGAGGCGTGGAGGGTGGGAGGAGTGGAGGGTGGGAGTCCGGGCCGCCAGGGCGTGGCCGCTCCACGGGCCCGCCCAGCCTTCTGCGCCTCCGCGCGCCAAAGTCAAAGTGCTGGTCCCGCCGGCGCGAGCGTCAGTGACGCTGCAGCCCCGAGCTCCCGGTGCCGTCGCCGTTCTGCAGGTCCCGCGCCGCCGCCAGCAGGCATGGCCACCCCACCCAAGAGGTTCTGCCTTTCTCCCTCCACCAGCTCCGAGGGGACACGCATCAAGAAGATCTCCATCGAGGGGAACATCGGTAAGACGACCCCGCACCGGCTCCCGCACCTCGCTCGGCGTTCCCTCCGCGTTGCCTTGCTCGCGCCGGCGCGCTGGCTCGTCTGGCCCCGCGCCAACCCGGGGCTTTGTGAGGCGCGCTCTGGGCCACTGCATCCTCTTTGTTGGGAACTTCCAAACGCGAGGGTTCGGGGCTGCTTTTCTTGAGATGTAACTTAGGTAAGCGACACCCGTTTTAGATGTGTTCTTCCGGTAGGTATGTTTCCCTGACTTGCCATTTTACCTCAGAATCCAGACCATTTTCGTCACCGCCCTTTCCAGTTCCCTTTGTGCTTCTTTGTAGTCAGCTCTTTCTCCCTTCCCTTCCATCCCTCTACAAGCCCTGACATGCTTCTTTCTAATCCATGCAAGTTTTGTTTTCCCACGATGTCATAAGCAGAACCAGAGTGTCAGGTTTTCTGTGTCTGGTTTACCAGAATGCGTAAGATTCACTCATGAAGTACTTTTTTTTTTTTTGAGACTGGGTCTTTATGTAATGTTTGCTGTCTTGGAACTCACTGTGTAGAACAGGCTGGCCTGGAACTCTCAGAGATCTGCCTGCTTCTGCCTCCCAAGTGATGGGATTAAAAGAGTGCACCACCACACCTGGCCCACTGTAGTACTTTGAGAAAAAAAAAGTTAAATAATATCCCGCTGAATGGTATATACTACATCTGGATTGGCGTTTGTAGCAATTTCCTAAGGCTACGATAGGCATACGAGGGAAGAAGCTTTTAATGATTTTGACGGTTTGGAGTATTTTTTTATTCCCTTTCCCACATAGCAGGTAAACACTGCAGTATGGCTCAAAGACCGTTAGAGTTTCTGCCCTCATGGGGGTAAACTACACCGTGCATGCCATTTTGCAAGGTGAACATCAATCTCCCATTCTTTTTTACATTTCCTACCACAGGAAACCTACCGATGTTTCCTGTTTTGATACGGCTGTTATTTTTTGGGCTGCAGGTTGAGTACTGACTGTTCATGTGTGCAGCAGATGTTTTTATCTGTACCACACGCAGAGCACTGACTCTTTACATGTAGATGCATTCAGGAGAGTAGAGCTGAAACACAAACAAGAGGGCTCATTTTACTTCCTCCACACAGAAGATACAGGCCATCTCGGAAGAGACCCTCATCTCTTAAAAGTTCTCTGAGATGCCATGCTTACTAGCAAGACTCCTCATACACAGCCTCTTGTGGATAAAGATGACCATATATAACGACAGGAGGAAGTTCTCAATAAAGTCATCTTTGTAGTAAGTTTCTGTGGGCAACCCCTGAGATCAGAACCATAATGGATTTTCTCCCTTGTCTCAAACCCAGGGAGGCAACATACATCCAGAAGTCTCCTTTCACCATGCATATTTAATCTTCTCAGCACTGAAATAATTTGTGAATGGGTCACTCTGTTTCCTGTGTGCCTCCTTTCAGAGCTGCCTTTCCACATGCAAATGAAGTGTTATCTGTGCCTAAAATTCCTCACTGACCTCCCTACCTATTGGTCTGAAAAGAGCTGCACATTAATTTGCACACTAGTAGGAAAAATTAGTTAAAAGTATTGAGATTTCTCTTGAGTGTCTAGATCTTTGACCATCAGGGGGAAAAAAAAAGAATCTGATGGTTTGGCAACTAGGCTTAAAACTGTGTTGGAGGAACTGTCATGTAGATTAAACATGTTTCTCACCACTTGTTGCCTTTCCTACAGGGAGGCTTCATCAGTTGCCTATAGCTCTTGTATGGTTATTTACATCCCCCTCACCTTATTTTTCAAGTCCAAATAACCTGTTGATGAAAAAATTGTGCGATCCGTGAAGACTGGTTTGTAATTCTCCTCTTCTTCCTGAAATTTGAAGACTGCTTGGTCATTTTTAGTTGCATAGTCACGTAGCCTGTTTCCCCTTGTTCTGTGTTATTGAGCTATTCCTGTAGATTAGATTTATGGAGGCTTTATTGGCTCACTTCAGGGTGTTCAGAATGATGATGGTGATGATTGCTTGGGTTAGGAATTCTGTTTGTTACCATGACTGTTTGGTTGTGTTTTATTTGAGATAGTTTCACTGTAACTGCCCTGACTGGTCTGGAACTCACTGTGTAGACCAGGCTGGCCTCAGACTCATAGCTACCTGCTTTTTAGTGTTTTGCATGCAAGCCCTGAGCCACTATCCTGTGACTTGTAAAACTATTAACAGGTGTTCTTGCTTGTTGTGGTCATTCACCTCCATAGAATGTTAGTTTACTAGCTTTTTTCTAGCTTTGATCTCCCTCCAGAAAGTTAAGGAAGGAACAGCTTGAAGTAAAATTTAATATTAGCATTTTTAAAGTATGACTGAGTGTGCTTTTGGTGGTTGTAATCAGTGTCAGAAGAAGGCTTAATGTGATGGCCTTAAGTGCTTTTAGATGCTTTTAGTTTGAGATACTTCAGTGTTTTTCATGTCTACCCTGAGTATCTTCTCAATACCTTACTATCTGTAAACTTATCCTGTCCATGCGGAATTTCAGTCGCCCATGTTCTCCCCACAACTAAATAGATACCCAGTTTATCTTTGCATTTATTTTTTTTTCTCTTTTTGGATTTAATACACTTTGATGTGTTGTTCTTCACCTGCCCTGTCACTTTATTCATCACCAGTTCCTTGATCTGTGCATGTGTTTCTAATGTCCTTGCTGATTCCCTCTTGTCTTGTATAATGTTGGAGGTTTGTGTATACTTCTGTGAGTCAAAGGTAAGTTCTTTGTGCTCATCCTGAGTCCATTTGACACTTGGCAAAAATATTGAAGCTGTATAGATGTGGGGTTTTTGTGTGTGTTTGTGTGTGTGTGTGTGTGGGTGTATAGTAAAAGGAAGAGGAAGAAAGAATATGATACTGACCAGTGATGCCTCATTTGTAACCACTTATGATAGGAAGGGAGTGGTGGTTATTAGAAGTACTTCTCCCACCCTTTTAGCTAGCCACAAGGTCCAGACTCACTGATACTAAAGTGGTGACTATAATATGTCCTGATTACACATAAGCTATTTTTGTCTTTTTCTAACCTAGATATCTCAGAGACTAGTGAATGATCGGGAAAAGCAAAGCTCTTTTTTTTTCTCTTAAGGGTTTAGTAGAGAACACAGAACCATAACATTCAGGTAGATTCCTATAGCTGTCAGTCGTAGGAAGTGCTTTGCAAGCCTTACAATTTCTGTTAGCTGTAGGCTTTATTAGGATCAGATTGGATAATAGTCATGCATTGGATGCCTCTTCATTTTGATTTTTGTAGTTATTTCTTAATTGGTTTGTTTATTACTGGTAAATTATTTTGGTTGTTTTGGGGGTCTCTAGCCTTCTCTTCCCCTTTTTAAAAAAAAGAAAGTGACCTTTTCTTGGGTGGCAGGCATGGTCTTACTCTGTAATCCAGGCTGGCTCAGCACTCACTGTGAAGCCCAGTTTGAACTTGAACTCATAGCAGTCCCCCTGCCTAAGCCTCCCAAGTGCTGCAGTTATAGGTGTATATGTTGTTACACCTGCTGTAGGGTATTTTTTTTTTTTTTTTGAGACTTGTCTCATTATGTAGCCGAGGCTGACATGGAATTCAGAATCCATTTACTTTAGCCTGCTGAATTGGAAGTTAGACTTGCAGGCCACTCAGGGAGTTCTTTAGGCTGAGAAAGTAGAATTTGTAGAAAAGAAGGTTTTGAAAATAAAAACGGCTAGAACAACTGTCACTTTACTGACACACAGTCTTGTTTTCCTGTGATAAGAGGAACCAAGGTCAGGACTTAGTCAACTTCACACACCTGGTTGGAAGGACAGGCTTCACCACTCTCCAGAAAATTCTTTTTCTAAGTGTTTGCCTAAGGAAACCTAGGCTAAAAGGAAGATTTTCTTTTTTCCTTCTATCATAACATCTTTCTTAAACTTAACCAGGGTTTTAAGTCTTCTGTTCCTTGCTATTGGTAAACTAAAAATAATAAATTTGTTCAGTACAGTTGGCTAGGGAACATCTCTAAGTTTTAATTTATAAAAAAGATGAAAAGGTCTTACTGTTTCTGTGTATGTATTGTTCACTGTGAATCTTGTAAAAGCTAATGACCATTGGTTATATTTTTCTTTTTAAATAGGCTTTCTTAATTTTATCTTTTATTATTTATGACAGCTGCTGGGAAGTCAACGTTTGTGAATATCCTGAAACAAGTCTGTGAGGATTGGGAAGTGGTTCCTGAACCTGTTGCCAGGTGGTGCAATGTTCAAAGTACTCAAGATGAATTTGAGGTGGGCAAGTAAAATTTAAGTCAATACAATAAAATTCTTTAGGACTGGGGGTGGCTCAGAGGGTCCTGTTTTACAGGTTCCTAGCACCCATGTGGTAGCTCAAAATTGTCTATAACTCCAGTTCCAGGGGTTCTGATTCCTTCTTCTGGTCTCCATGGGCACCAAGAACATACTTGGTGCACACATACAATCAAGGAAAACACTCATTCACATTAAAAAAAATATATAAAATTTAAAAACCCTTTAGGTTAGAGAAGCAGTATATTTTGCCTCTTGGTCACCCACTACTCACACACACACACACACACACACACACCTACCTACCTCTTTCCCTGTAAGATTTTATGCACTATTACACCAAAGTTTAAAAGGTTTTTAGAAGTTTAAAAACTGATAGCAGCTGGGCGGTGGTGTTCCATGCCTTTAATCCCAGTACTTGGGAGACAGAGGCAGGTGGATCTCTGTGAGTTTGAGGTCAGCCTGGTCTACAGAGCACGTTCCAGAACAGCTAGAGCTGTTACACAGAGAAACCCTGTCTCGAAAAACAAAAACAAACTTAAAAGTAATTTAAAAATCTAATTACAAATTAAACTTCTTGAGTGATTTTTTTTTCTTTTTACAATTTAAATGAAAACACATAGGAAACCTAAACCTCCAATAATTGATTTTTATTAATCTTTTCAGCCCTTTGTCATGTGATAATCCATTTATATTCTTATTTCTTTGAACTATACCATCATTCTTCACAAACTTTCATTCTGGACATGTTTCATTTTTACTAGTCCTTTTCAGTACAGCATTGCAAATGAGAGAATAAGGGAAATTTCACTTTTTCATAGTGGAAGTTATGGTCTTGTGTGAAAATGATTGCTAAGAGTTTTCATTTCTGGAGAAGTGAAATTCAAAATAAAGAACTTGGAAAGGTTTGCCAGAAAATTGTTCAGTCAAAAAGTTAAAAGAAAACCCCCCCCAAAAAGCAGAGCTATTGATGTGAGGATTTCTCGGAATTATTGAGAATTTAAAATGTAAGTTATAATAGAAGGAAAATCAATTAACAGAAATATATAGCCTTTATAGGTTGTCTTAGTGAGGGTAAGTATTGCTGTCATATAATACCATGACCAAGGCAACTTTGGGAGGAAGAGGGTTTATTTGGCTCTTACTCTCCACATCACAGTTCATTAAGGAAGTCAGGGCAGGAACCTGATGCACAGAACGTGGAGGGAGCTGCTTATTTCTTGCTCCCCATGGCTTGCTCAGCCTGCTTTCTAAAGAACCCAGGACCAGCAGCCTAAGGATGGCCCAACCCACAATTATTGGGGCCTCCCCATCAATCACTAATCAAAAGAACACCCTACAGGCTTGCCTACAGGCAGATTTAATGGAGGCATTTTTCTAAATTGAGGTTCCCTCCTCTCAGATGCCTATAATTTGTGTCAAGTTTACATAAAACTAGCCCACATAGGGATGTTTGTGAATTTTTTCCCCTTTCTTTCTTGTTCTTTTGGATAAAGGTTTGATACTAAAAGTATGTCTCACACTTTTGTTTGTAAAGCATAGTTGATTTTAGGCTGGGAGCACAATTAAGTATATCCCAATCCTTTGAATATCAAGTACTAAACTGTAAAGGGACTTCCCATATAGAATTCATTCTCTTAATTTTTTATGTATGAGTCAGGAGTCGGAGCTTATGGTCTTCTGCACTTTAAGTAGGGTTCAGAAAATTCAGGAAACAGTATTTTGTGGATAATGTGAAACATGAAACATTAAGTAGGTGGATGGCTTCTCTGTATTTTTGGATATTGTTTCTATTTCCCACCCCCAGAGTTTTAGTAGATTCCAAAAAATGGGATTTTAAGGGCTAGGATGTAAATAGCATGCTCAAGGCCCTGGGTTTAAGCCTTAACACCACAAAAAGCAACACAAATGAAGTGGGTTTTATTCTTCATAGAGCCGATCTCCAACTCATTCTTGATTTGTTCTTTGTAGTTGTAGTGTGAATCACCCAGTATCTAACTCTTAGCTGTGTCTTTGTTTTGTTTTTTGGGGGAGGGTTCCGGGTCTGAATCAGGGTTTCTCTGTGTAGCCTTGTAGACCAGGTTGTCCTGGAACTCACAGAGATCTGCCTGCCTCTGCCTCCCAGTTCAGCTTAGCTGTGTCTTAATGCTGCCAGCACTGAGGAGTGCTAACTGTCCTAACCGGTCAGTCCTCTTTTAGAACTTATTTTGCTTATTTTTCTTGGAGGTTGTAGAATAGGAAGAACTTGGCATTAGTGCCTTTCCTCTCCTCCCTCAGTAACTACATGTCTATCTGCATGCTTAGCTTATTAGGATGCAGCTGTTATTTTTTTTTTGTTTGTTTTTTTCTTTTCATCTGCCATCTAGTGGCTGAAATGTTACTGTGCTACTAACGGGCTACCAGCAGTCTACAAGTTACATGGTTTCCTTTTCTTTTCCCTGAATTCTGGCAAAAAATGAGTTTGAAAAACTGTAGGTGATTATTATTAGTCTTTGTTTTACAGACTCACAGCAGTAGTTTACTCTCTTTGGTGATTTACTTGATGTAGTCCAAAGCTTGGATTTAATTGCTTTCTTTTAGTTTGTTTCCACAGGGTTTCTCTGTGTAGCTCTGACTGTCTTGGGATTTGCTCTGTGGACTAGGCTGGCCTTGAACTCACAGAGATCCACCTGCCTCTGCCTCCGAGTGCTGGGATTAAAGGTGCATGTCACCACCATCCAGCTAATTTTTTTTTTTTTTTTCTTTTTACTTACAGATTTCCAGAATGGCTAATGGATGCTTTAATATCTCCAAAAATGACAATATTTTGTATTTTTTAAAAAAGTACTATGAACTCACAGATTATTACCTTCCATGTTTTTAGATGTCCAGACAAATAGAAGCCCCTTTGTGTTAGCTTTTTGCCCTTTGTATAGTACTAGGAGACCTCCAATGGTTTCTTTTTTTATTAGAACAAGGTATATGAAGACCCGCTTCCAGAATGTGTTACAAAACGCCTCTCAGTGGTTAACGTATTTAGAAGTCATGATCTAGATGGCATTTCTGATTGTTCATCAGCTTTTTGGCAGACGGAACTAGGAAGCTATATTTTTTTCATAGAAAAAAAATTAATTCGAGATGCCATTTGCAATTCCTATTTAATTTTATACTAATTTTTTTATGTTTATATTTTTTCGTTGCTGAAAAAATTGGTTCTAACAACATGGCTATTGAATTGCAAGTTTGGAGCACCATGCTGTTCGGTCATATTAAAAGACTGGAGTTACACCTAAAGGGCCCAGGCAGTGAATGAATACACCCAGTCTTCTATTTAGCACTAGTTACAGTGGTCCAGCTTATAATTGTTTTTTAACTTTATGATGTGAAACATGCACACACAGTAGTCTGTGTACTTTGATTTTTATATTTTGATTTTTCCCATTCTGGAGGAATGTGATGTGACACTTGTGCTAGACACCAGCAGTGAGGTCAGAGTGGCTCAAGGCAATTAGAAGTCTACTATAGTGTATATTCTTTTAAGCTTTGATGCATTTTCACCCTTTGATAATTTCAGTTTAGGATTTATTTACAAGGACAAAACCCCCATTGTCAGATCTATTAGAAAATCAGGGAGTGTTGGGGGGCTGATGAACTGAGTGTATATATGTGTTACCTCAGAGAGGCATGCGTGACTTAGCTGTAGCTGATATTTTAGAGATTTGTCTATGTGTATGAGTGTTTTGTCTGCGTGTATGTGTATCACATATTTACTTGGTTCCTGCAGAGGTCAGAAGAGGGCATCAGATTCCCTGAAACTGGAGTTATAGTGAGTTGCCATGTGGGTTCCGGGAACTGAACCCAAGTCCTCTATAAGAAGAGTCAGTGCTCTTAAACAGTGAGCCGTTCCTCCAGCCCCCATGTAGCTGATTTTTTTTTTAAATTTGTGTGTATATGTGGTTGTATGTGGGCATACATTTGACACGGTAGTGTAGAAATCAGATGACAACAATTTGGAGTTGGTGTTCTTCCGCATTTGTATGGGTTGCAAGGATCAATTTGGTGATATCAGGCTGGTGTGGCCAGCACTTCCTCTGTTCTTGCCACAGATCATTATTCTGATTATTCTGAGAAGGCAATATGAGTACAACAATGTTGTTTTATCTTTTCCTTTTTAAAAAAGGATGTATGAATTCAATATTTTTATTTATCTTTTAAATATTGATTTTTTTCCCTGTAGGTTGTTGGTAATTATGAGAAAGCTTTGAGGGTTATTTTAGACCTCAAGTAACGAAAGATATGCTAGAAAAAAGCAAGGAGAAGGAATAAGATTGTCTTGACTTTGCTAGTAACGTGTTTATGGATTTTTCTTTAAAATAAAGATTTATATATTTCGTATGGTGTTTTATCTGTATATATGTCTGCATCACATGGGTGCAGTTCCCATGAGACCAGAAGATGATGTCAGGTCTTCTGGAATTGGAATTACAGTTTTTATCCACTACATGGATGCTGGGAGCCAAATTTGTGTCCTCTGAAGAGGAGCAAGTGCTCCTAACCATAGAGCCTTCTCTCCAGGATCCCTTCCCTGCAATTTCTCCTTTTGAACTTCTTAAAAATAACTGTGGCATAGTGGCAGACACCTTTAATTTCAACCCTTGGGAGGGAGAGGCAGGCAGGTGTCTCTTAGTTCAGGAGAGTTTGGTCTCTGTCTCGAGTTTCAGGACAGCCAAAGCTACATAGTGAGACCTTGTCTCAAAAAACAAAATATAAAACAAAAAAGTTAAAGTAACTCTATAGGCAGTCAGTTTTTAAAATTTGTTTCTTTTCCCAATTTAAAATAGGAATTGACAACGTCTCAGAAAAGTGGTGGGAATGTTCTTCAAATGATGTACGAGAAACCCGAGCGGTGGTCTTTTACCTTCCAATCATACGCCTGTCTCAGCCGGATCCGAGCTCAGCTTGCCTCTCTCAACGGCAAGCTCAAAGATGCAGAGAAACCTGTATTATTTTTTGAACGATCTGTGTACAGCGACAGGTATGCAAATGGCTAATATTTGGCTCTGGAGTTTATAAGTAGACAATTTCTTCTTTTTTTCTCATTTCCTGGTAGTCAAATTAGAGGCTGACCTGGAGATTTTAGATAGAAAATGACATTGAAAAACACCTTTAGCATTGAGGTGCTAATGACTTTAGGACAGAGCCCCTTTTCCCTCCCAACCCTTTAGAATTCTTCTGTGTTGTGATTATATCTGGATTTGTATTCCTTAGACACTCAACTAGAAAAAGATAAAAATCAGAAATTTCTACAGGTGCTTTAGAATCACCTCAGTTATCTTAGTTTTTGGTCTCAGGATGTCTTTCCTTGCATTGTTAAATAGGCTACAAAATTTTGTCATTTGATATGTATATTATTAGAAATTAAGATTGAGAGTCAATATACAAATATAAAATGAAAGAATCAATCAGAAACATACAGTATTAATAAAGAGTGTCTGATAAAAGGTTTTAAAACAAGTATAGTGATAAGAGTAGCATAGCCTTTTTAATGTCTGAGTTAATACAATTATTTTTCCCCTCCACGCTTGTATATTTATATTTGTGAATGTGTTCTTTGAAGTATAGTAGTGTGTGAGGTAAGCTGGCTTCTCATAGAACTGGAAGGAGCTTGGGGACCTCCAGGGATCCTTAGCCAATATTTTGAGATCTGTCGACAAAGGACCCATTTCTTATACTTGGAAAGACATTGTGTGTATGCTTTCCAAGGCCCTTGTTGCCACAGGATTTAGGAGTGTGTTTTATGCCCATTTCCTTTTTTATGAGTTAGTTGTGTTTCTATGTGTTTGAAAGGGCATATATGCTGACGAAGGTTCTCTTTCAGGTATATTTTTGCATCTAACTTGTATGAATCTGACTGCATGAATGAAACAGAGTGGACAATATATCAGGACTGGCATGACTGGATGAATAGCCAGTTTGGCCAAAGCCTTGAACTGGATGGAATAATTTATCTTCGAGCTACTCCAGAGGTGAGGCTGATGAATATCTGCTTGTGCCATTGAGATTTTAAAGTAACATCAGAGTACAAGAGGGTTGTAGTAGTGACAATTTAAAATCATCTTCCTGTCTGGAGCGGTCTTTGTGGGGCAGCAATTGGAGCCAGCAGAGTGGCCCCAAGCCCATACCTGAGTTGGGGAGTGTAGATGAGGGAAAGGCTAGCTATAGACAATAAAGAAAGAGAGACAGAATAACAGTCAGGAGGGCAGATCAGTCAGTACTGAAATACCACGAGTTTATTTTTCACCACTCTTATATACCATAACCAAAAAGGTGGAACACAGTATCATGTATATGGAACAGACAGACTTTTCTTCCTCCCTTATTCTAAGGGTTCAGTAACCATACCTTATCTCTAAATTTCTTGTTCCCTAGCCTTGACTAGAAGTAGCCATACCTCAGATTCAACTTCTTTCCTAGCCTTGAGGTCAGGAGTACCATACCTCAGATTCAGGTTTGTTGTTATTTAAATTAAGATGGCCAAAACATCCTTCTGTAGCCACACCTTTGACCTTTAGGTCTTGTGACTTGCTGACAGCTTTGAACTCTGTCCTTGTGCCAGATGGAGTGCAGTCATCTTTATGAGCACCCACATCTTCCAATCTGGAGCGATGTCTCAGTGGTTAAAGAGACATCTTAATCTTCCTAAGGACCCAGGTCTAATTCCCAGCATCCACATGGTGGCTCACAATCATCTGTAACTCCAATTCCAGGGAATCTGATGCTCTCTTGGCCCCCTCTGGGCACTACACACATGAGGTGGCCAGACATTCAACCAACATTCAACAGACATAAAATTAAAGATAAATAAATAACTCAGAGCAGTACAGATTTCTTAGCAAGGTAGAAATCTAGATGTGGCAAGTTTGGTCTTCTCTGTTCTTCACTAGTCTTTTTTTTTTTTTTTGGTCTTAATTCTTAACTTGCTCAGCTTCTTATCCCCTCAGAGCTAGAATAAGAGACTTGTTTGCCGAAGCAACTTCTAAAATACAGGCTTAATGGACAGGTATTGCAGCTACTGTTGAATTTCTAGGGCCAGTAGAAGGTCTGGGACATAGTGGAAACTTAAATGCTTGCTTTATGACTATCACAGCTGTTGGAGGGCCACTTTAAGAAACATTTTATGGTACTTGTGACTTGGCACAAATAAGTTGTGGCACACTTGCAAGGCGACACAGAGAGCTTGTCATTTTCAGCTAAGAGCGCTCCCTAAGAAGTACACACTCTACAGTGGCTTGAATTTTTCTTCTTGTTTGCTTTCAGAAATGCTTAAACAGAATTTACTTTCGGGGAAGGAGTGAAGAGCAGGACATCCCCCTTGAATACCTAGAGAAGCTACACTATAAGCACGAGAGCTGGCTCCTTCACCGGACGCTGAAGTAAGGCTTTCTTACTGTTGGCTGCTTACTGTGACTCCTCATCACATTTCAGTCCAGAAGCTGCATGATATGAGTTACGATGTACAAAGACAGTTTTTGTTTGTTTTTTGTTTCTCGAGACAGGGTTTCTGTGTGGCTTTAGAGGCTGTCCTGGAACTAGCTCTGCAGACCAGGCTGGTCTCGAATTCACAGAGATCTGCCTGCCTCTGCTTCTTGAGTGCTGGGATTAAAGGTGTCCGCTACCAACACCCGGCTGACAAATACATTTTTTTATCCTTTGTTTTTTTTTTTTTTTCAGGACAGACAGGGTTTCTCTGTGCAGCCCTGGCTGTCCTGGAACTCACCGTATAGACCAGGCCAGCCTTGAACTCAGAGAGATCCCCTTACTTCTGCCTCTAGAGTCCTGGGATTAAAGGTGTGTGCTACCACTGCCTGGCCAAATGTTTGGTTTTTTTATTCATGTATTAATTCATATTTTCAAGTCACTTGTTTGGAAATTTTGTAACTGGCATCTTCTAACCGTATTTTAGGTGATAAAGTAAAAACTGAGTATATCAAAATATACCCAGTTTTAAGGTGGTATAGTCTGATGCTTTATTCTTTTTTTAATTTTTATACTTCCAGTTATACATTAGTAGCCTTACTCCAAAAATATCAAATGTGAAATTTCAGAAAGAATTCATGAATTTAAAGTTGCTTGCTAAGTTGGCTGTGCCTGTCTGTAGTCCTGTCTCCTGGGAGTCTGGGACTGTACTATTGCTTAAGGCCATACTGGAGGACATCGCTGTCCATTCTTGAGTAGTGTTGAAACATTCTGCTGTTCGGCTCTGTCCTGTTTCACCCAGAAGTGCGTAGGATATGAGTTGTCACTTTGTCCAGTTTGTCTAAGCATATACAGGATGTGCTTGGTAGTCATTTAGTAACTGTTTGGTGTGAGAGTGAGCATTACATATGATAGTGCTATAACCAAGTGTTCCTTGTCTTTTACTCAGTAATGGTTCTGAAGTGCTAGAGTAGTGAGGGACACTGGCAACCTTAGCGCTTTAAATGGAAAAGGGAGAGTTCTCAACTTAGGGAAAGGAAAAGGCAGTTTTAAGGTAGAAAGCATTGCATTTGTATATGGAGGACAAAACAGTGCATACAGAGTGCAGTGGATGTTACCTGTGCCTCAGACTTACTGGGAATCTTAGACTGTATCCCACATGGCCAAGAGAAGTTACTGGGATATAGTTTAAATTTGTGTCTTCTGTCATGACTTGGGAGATAGTAGCCTAGTTAATTGTAGAAACCTGTCTTTGGGGGGCATCAGTTGGATTCAGCCAACTTGCCCAGTTCGTACTGTAAGGATGGAAAAACACAGCCTAACTCTCCAATGACCCCAGGAAGCTAGAAGTTTAAAAATACTATCTAAAAAGCCCTAACTACCTTAAATTTCAGACCCTGTTCTCTGCTGTAAATAGGTGAAAGGTCTAGGAGCCCACGCAAATGCAGACCTCCAGGGCTATAGAAAACGGATTTGTCTATAATGCTCGGGCTTGGATGATTTAAAATAATTGGTCTAAAAACTATAAGATGGTTTAAATTGATTGGCCCGCACCACTTGGGCTCTTGATGCTATGAGATGATTGGTTTACGATGCGTGGGCTTTGTTGTAAACCCTATAAAAGCTGTCTCAATTCTGTACTCATGGTCCTCAGTCTTCTACCCCTGTGTGGTGTATGACTGTGGGCCCCAGTGGTGGTGTATGACTGTGGGCCCCAGTGCACTTGGAATAAACAAGACCTCATGCAGTTTGCATCAAGACTGCTTCTTGTGCGTGATTTGGGGTGTCGCCTTTCCTGAATCGGAGCATGAAGGTCTCAGTGCCTGAGAAGGGGAGTGTGGATTGAGAAAAAGACACTAAGAAAAAGACAGATATAGGATAGAGTTAGGAGGGCAATCTAGTGAATTCTGTATGGCCCAAGTTTATTCTTCAGCATATACCCCCAAACAAAAAAGGAGAAAATGGCAAAGGATACAAGGAGCAAACAGACTTTCTTCCTTAATTCTTCAAATATTTAGTAACCATGCCTTAGACTAAATCACTTGTTATCTGGCCTTCAAGGTTAAGAGTAACCACACCTCAGAGCAAGTCTGTTTTTATTTGGATACCACTAAGACCAAACATCCTTCTGTAGTCACGCCTTAGACTTTTAGGTCTTGTGACTTAACCTAGGAAGAATAAGGATAATTTTGAACACTCTGGCCTAAGTAAAGATGAAGTGGAGACATTTTTATGGGCCCTGACAGTTAATGGCATAAACTGTGTGAGTCACCACTTAGGCAGTATGTAACTGCATAGCACCTGAGGCTCTGAATGAGTTTAGTTTTCTTCTGTTTTTTGGCAGTGCTGGGAATGGAGCCCACTGCCTTGGACATGCTAGACAAGCACCCTACGACCACACTACATTGGGAGCACCCTCATTGCTAAAACATAAAACCTTTCTCATGTCTTTTGCTTTTGAGAAATGACATATAATGCCTAGCTTTCCACATTCCATAACTGAGACAATTGTACACACAGTAGTAAATATACATATAAAGAGACTGCCAGCACTTTACTGCAAGAAAACTTTAGTCTAGAATGATTGACAGTATTTTGACTTTTGAATGATATGACTTGGTTTCTAATATTTTTCCTGGATTTAGTGCTTTTCTGATTTTGGTCATCTTTCCTTTAAAACAGAACCAACTTTGATTATCTTCAAGAGGTGCCTATCCTCACACTGGACGTCAATGAAGACTTTAAAGACAAGCATGAAAGTCTGGTTGAAAAGGTCAGTTGAGGAAAAGACTAGTGTTTTGTCTCGTCTGCAGTGATTTCAGTTACTTTGTGAAAACAGTTGCTTCCAGAAAATCTTCTGTAAAAGGACATTAAGAGGGCTGTGGTGTATCTTTGAAGTACTATGCTTTTTCTCATCCTTTTCTCCTGTCTTGTCCCACTTTTTTCTTTACACATCACTGATTTGTACACGTTCTAATATGAACTGCTTATACAATTAGTCTATCTTTTTGAAAGAGTTCAGTATGGAGGGTATTTAAAATTGTAGGATATAGTCTCATTCATAAAGCAGTTATTTTAAACCGTTGTTGGAGACCATGTCCAGGATGAATTGGCCTTATCCTAATCATTGAGTCATTAACAAAGGTTAATTTAACCTTCAGAAAATTAAGAGTTGATCATTACCTAAATGAGTAATGTAATTGATACATATTAGGGGGAAACTTACTGAAGATTCATAAGGTAATAATAGGAAGAATTGTACAATAAATCCTTATCTACATTAATTAACTTAGTGATCTCATGTCTAAGGAGAAATACATATTTGTTTAGTTTTGAGAGAAACTGAGGAGCTATTTTTTTGGTGTTTGTATTTTTCCTCATTAAATATTGGGCTGTTTACTATAATAAAACCTCAGCTATATCTCAAAAAATAGAAACTTTCAACATTTGAAACCCTTTATATGATTGGTTGCCCTATCATAAGTAATACATATGTAGAAAATTCAAGTAACTTATTATTATGATATTAAAACATAAGGTAGAATTAGCATGTGATATTATTAAAATAAAATTAGCAGCAGTTGTATTAACACCAAGCATGAATTTAACTGAACTTATAAAACCACTTTAATTTTATTTTGTTACTTAAAAGTTTTCTCTGGGTACAGACATGTACATGGTACATAGACATATATGCAGGCAAAATATTCATACAGAATAAAAATGAAATAAATTTATGCCTTAATATTATAGATTTATGTTTGAATTGCAAAAGTGATTAATCTCTTAAATTATTAGTATTAAAGATGTATATATCATTGGTTTATATTATTTAAATAATATATATTTAAAAATAGAAACCGTAGCTGGAGGTGGTGGTATATGCCTTTAATCCCAGCACTCTGGAGGCAGAGGCAGGCAAATCTCTGTGAGTTCAAGGTCAGCCTGGTCTACAGAGCTAGTTCTAGGACAGCCAGGACTGCACAGAGGAACTCCATCTAGAAAAACAAAACTATACATATATATATATATGTGTGTGTGTGTGTGTGTGTGTATTTTTGTAAGTGTATATATATATATATATATATATATATATATTTGTGTATACACACACATACAGAGAGAGAGAGAGAAAGAGTGCATAAAATTAGTATTACAGGTCTTTTAGAATTGTATCTTTTTTTTTGGTGACAGGGTTTCTCTGTGGCTTTGGAGGCTGTCCTGGAGCTAGCTCTTGTGGACAAGGCTGGTCTCGAACTCAGAGATCCGCCTGCCTGCCTCTGCCTCCAAAGTGCTGGGACTAAAGGGGTGTGCCACCACCGCCCCGTGTATCAATCTTTTGTTAACTGTATAAATCTTAAGTATAAATTAATTAATGATTTTAGAATATTTACCCTACTGCTGAAATCCTTAGTATTTGTTTTGAAAATAAACGTTCTGGCATTGTGATGTTTTTATATAATTGGTGTGTTCAGCTTTTCTGTACTTTTTGTTTGTGTGTTTCAAGGCAGGGTTTCTCGGTGTAAAACCTTGACTGTCTTGGAACTCGCTCTGTAGACCAGGCTGGGCTTGAACTCAGAGTTCTGCCTCCCAAGTGCTGGACTAAAGGCATTCACCACCTGGCCTCATAGCTTTTCTGTACTCTTAAAATGAAGATGAATATTATAAATCAAATTAATTGAAGGAATTGTATTAATTCTTTTTTCCTTTCTTCAGGTCAAAGAATTTTTGAGTACTTTGTGATCATCTGGGCAAACTACAGGCGATGGATGTCTCCAGACACTTTAGTTTGTGTGCCATTGTAGCTTGCTCTTCGTACGAAGGTCTTTACAACAGGATTCAAGTTTTTAAACTATTGGTTTTTTTGTTTTGTTTTGTTTGTTTTTTTTAAGGAAAACTTTTCTTTATATATGTCTTTTATTTAATATTCAGAATCCCCTGTAAAACTGCATCCCTCCTTTATTCTTTACACCCCCCTCCTCCCTCCCACAGTTTTAAATCAGAACTGTTGTATCTCACACCAGGAAGTCTGGAGGTAGGTGTTCTCAGAGTTGGTAAAGTGAGTGGATAACTGTTACAAAAAGCTCAGCCTTCTTGGTTTATCCTGAGCACGTTGACATGTTTTCTATGTTGTCGAGATTTACTGGTGACCTGTTTAACTGGCCACTTTAATTGTCCATAAAAGGATGTGTGTCTTATGTAAATTAGTATACCTATTATGAACTGAAAAGTGAAGTTGGGGAATCCTAGAATGGATTTGAAGTGTTTGTTTTATTTTTCTTGTTCCCTTTGTTGGTGCTGGACATTGAATCCAGGGTCTCATTCATGCTTCGGAAGTACTCTACAGCGAACTGTCCCTAGCCCCTGAAGTGTTGTTTTTAATCAAGTGCCCCTCCTTCCATCCACTTAATGACGATAAGACCATGTTATAGTCACCTCATGGATGTTTACTAATGTGTCTGGTGTTTTTGTAGAGGAAGAGGTTCATTTCTGACCCCAGTATGGTAATGGTGTAATTACTTTATAAATCATTTAATCTTTACCTGTTTTTTCATTTGTGATGAGTACTCTTTTTCTTTTAAACATAAATTTTGGAGAATGGAAGACATCTTTCTGTATTTATAAGGTAGCTAAGACTTTTATTACGTGAGCACAAAGTTTCATTGGATTAGATACTGCTTTGAGACAGGGTCTCTCTACACTGGGCTCTAATTTTCTTGAAATCATTTGAGATACAAGTAGTTTTTCCTCAATTGCTTTTAATTTTTATGTAAAATGTTGGTAGAACATAATAACAAGTTCTCCATTGGCCCTGTGTTGTTAAGTAGTCTCTCTCTACCTCTATACATGGTGAGACATTGAGCTAGACCAAGCCAAGGTAGAATGTTTCAACTATTCAGTCTGCTTATGCCACCTCTCAATCCCTGTTGTAGGCTTTTCCTTTTCTATCTGAAGTTCTTAAGATTTAAGTCACACATTTCTGCTGTGAGAATGTGATCACACTTGGCTTCACAGTTTGCTTTGTAGGATTTTCCTTAAATTCCTTGTACTCACAGAGAAATTATTGATAAAACGATTTTGCTTTATGTGTAGTGTATCATGGACATGGTACAGTTTTTGTTGACCTAGGAAATAACTTCAACAAATTGTATGAGGCTTAAAGCTACCATTAATAATGCATGTATCTCTTAAACCACTTTCATGTTTAGCTGTAAAAGTCTGCTTGTATTCAGCTGAGGCCTGTATGTAATTAAAGAAGTATTTTAAAGTTAAGATGTGCATTTTTACTAGGTAATTAGCCTTGCTACTTCATATTAGGAAAAACATTGTTTCTTGAAATGAAGGATCACATTTATTTTGAAGCTATAGTTTCCTTTCTAATGTTACCTTTTATGTTTGGTTTCTTATTCAAAGGTGATAATTTAGTGGGTTAACTGGTACAGTAGCACTGATCTTTGAAAAAGGGGACTCAATTTCAAATCTGTAATAACCAAAAATACATTGTCTTGTGATATATCAGACCTCTTTGTATTTTGGTTTGATATAAATAAATTTGCCACCTTAAATGTTTGTCAATAAATAAATTAAAAAGTTTTGAACTATAGTGGGAGAGTTTAAATTTTCTCAACCAGAAACCATCTGGTCATCTTCTACAAATTTTGACTTTGCATTATCCATTTAGATCTGTGGTCCATTTCCAGTGTTTGTGAAAATGTTAGATTTGTGTGTGGATGTGTGTGTGTATATGTGTATCCCTTGTATGTGCATGTGTTTGTACGTGTATTCCTTGTATGTGCATGTGTATGTACGTGTATGCCTTGTGTGTGTACTTGTATGCCTTATGTGTGCATGTGTGTGTATGTATATGCCTTTGTGTGTGTGTGTGTGTGAATGTATGCCTTGTGTGTGCATGTGTGTCTGTCCATGTATGCTTTGTGTGTGCATGTGTGTCTGTCCATGTATGCCTTGTGTGTGCATGTGTGTCCATCCATGTATGCCTTGTGTGTGCATGTGTGTCCATCCATGTATGCCTTGTGTGTGCATGTGTGTCCATCCATGTATGCCTTGTGTGTGCATGTGTACATGTAAGGCTGCTTCAGCACTATCTTTGTTTCCTTGCGTTGGCTTTGCTCTGCTTTCTATAAAGGTCAGCTGACTATCTTTATCCAAGCCTTCTTCTGGATTCTTTGTTCTGTTAGGTTGTTGTATTTGTCTGTTTTGTTGTCAACAGTTTTGATTGTTTACTGTAGTTTTATAGTAATCCAGAAGGCTTGGCTTTGTAGCTGGGCTGCCTGGAACCCATGGTCCTGTCCACTGTTCTGGGTGCTGGTTAGAGTAGTGCACCATCGTGATCAGCTGCTCCCTTTTCCATGCTGAGTTGGGTGTTCTGAGCCTTTGCCTCCCTGTGAAAATGTTAGAATCAGTTTACCAATGGCCACAAAAGAACTTGCCAGCACTATTAGTTGACATTTGTTGGGTCTGAGAACAAGTTGGGAAGCACCAACATGTTGAAAATTCTTGTAGAGCTTTGTTGTTTTGCTGCTGAGGAACAATGAAGTCGTTCCGTTTATTCAGTTCACTGACACCTTAAGAAGTTATACAGTTTTCTTCATATAGATCTTGTGTGTATGTTATTGTTTTGTGCTTGTGTGACAGTGCACGCAACTATATTAACTTTACATTCTGCAAGGTTGTTGTATTATTTATTCTACGTTTTTGTTTGTTTCTGTTGTTTTTCCACATAAATGGCCTTGTCAGGTGTGGACAGAGACTTTATCAACTTCGCAGTGAAGATACCTCTGCATTTTCTTGTTTTACTGCACTAGGTAGGACTTTCAGAGGAATGTTCAAAACAAGCCTTCATAAAAGAGGAGATTGTTTAGTTTTGTCCCTGATCTTACCAGAGGAGGTTTAGTTTATTGCGAATAATATAGTATTAGCTGTTGCAGCTTGAAAAAAAGCAAGGAAATTCATTTGTTATAGTCTGTATCACTTTTCACACTCTACTAAAGTGAAACAGTTTAGTTACAGAAGGTTAAATACCATATTGGCTATAGTCAATAGTGTACTCTTTATTAATTTTATTTATTTATTTGTTGTTTTTATAGTGAGAGAGAGTGTGTGTGTTAATGGTATGTCATGTGCATGTAGGTTTCTGAGAAGACTATCTGTGGATGCTGGGAGCTGAACATGAGTCCTGAGAACTGAGCAATCAACTCCTCAGAACCGCTAAGCTATTTTTCCAGCCCCAATAAAGTATAGCTTGATTTAATCATGTCACATACATACAACATCACTTTACCTTATAAGTATATATAATCATGACAATATTACACTTAATGGATATTACATAATATAGATATTCCATCTATATATGTATATATACATACATATGTATTGTATATACATGTATATATACATACATACATACATATATATGTATGTATATATATAGTTTCCTTTCTGTTGAAAGTACTCAGACAAAAAGCATCTTAAAAAAGGGAGGGGTTACTTTTGCTTGAAGTTCCAGGTTCCAGCCTTATGCAGTACAGACAGCATCAGGAGCTTGAGACAGCTGATTATATCATGTCCACAGACCTGTGTGTGTGTGTGGGGGGGATGACACACAACACTCTTTTGTTCCTACTTTGCTTGCTGGCTAGGTGGAGGAACAACATCCTGGGAGAAATATTGTAATCAATTGTCTCAAATCAGGAAGGGCAAAGGTTTTTCTATCTCCCAGCACCAAAGGTCTCCCTGCTTTCATTGACTTTGTGACCACCCCAACAACCAGTGTGAACCCAGGAGACTGGTGCTATTGCTTTCTCAGTGTCAAGGGTCCAGGTCATGATGATTTGGCTCCTGGAAATGGAAATGGAAATGAGATGTGTGGCAGAGGAGAGCTATTCATGACTAACCAGGAACCTGAGGGTGTTACTAGATAGGCCACAGATATATATATATATCTATGGTCTTCCTTTGGCCAGATCCCACATTCTAAAGTTTACATGATTTCACCAAATAGTGAGATAAAAATCTCACTGTCCCTGGAACTTGGAGATGTACCCTGAGTTATGGGATTAAAGGTGTGTTCTACCAAGCCTTGCTATGATCAAACATGAACTTGTTGGAATATTTCAGATTCAAAACATAGCACCTTAGCACCTGAAGACTTATGGCTAATACGGGAAGCCCAAGCAGACAAAAAACTAGCAGCAAGAATGAAACAGTAAGGATCAACCAACAAAGCTGAGCCTAGGGCCAGATGGATTCACTTGTGTTTCTATTGTAGTGAGACATCCACCTGGCCCGCACCTGTAGCACTGACCACGCCCACTTGGGGCGTGGTCACAGGTGCGGATGTGCAGGGGAAGGTTAGGTCTGGGGTTCCAGACCCCAGCTTTCTCTGTCTTGGTCATGGAATGCTGCCTGGGTGTGGGTCATTGGAGCAGGAACTTTCGGATCATCGGTTTCTTATGTGACTTCTCTCCGAATAAAATTAACCTGTATTTAATTTAATCCCGTGTATCTTAATCTGTGCATCATTATTCTACCAAAGAAATAAGGAACTAGCAAATGGCAATACTCCGAAAACTTGCATAAAACACAATGAAACTCAGTGAAACTGGTACTAGCCTGATACCAAAACCAGGTAAGATTCAAAGGGGCAGGAGAAAGGCATTGCTGTTGACCAGTTTTCTTGGTGAATATAAATAGCTGTAGTAGTAGCAACTGTGGTATTGGCATAAAAATAGACACATGGACTAATGGGAAAACCCAGGAATAAACCATGGAAGCCACGATTGTGTGGCTTTCTATAGAGTGCTGAGAACATTTTGAAGCCAGCCTCTTCAATAATGATGTGTGAAAAAGTGGGTATTCACATGTAGAAAGTGTGGATCCCTGAACAAAGTCTATTCGAAATAAGGAAAAATCCTTAGTGAGACTTGAAGCTAACAGACCAAATATTTTAATCATTAAACGGGTAAATGCATTGAGCAGAGATTTTTCAAGAGATAAGTAATTGGTGTCTGGAAAGATAGCCAATGATGACACAGACTTATTAATTATGAAGGCTCATCAATAGCGTAAGCTTGTTTCTAACTAGCTTTTATAACTTAAATTAACACATACCTTTTAAGCTACATTCTTTACATGGCTCAGTTACCTTTACTCTATTGCCCGCCCTGCTTCCTTTCCATCTGGCTGACAACTCCGCCTTTCTTCAAGAGCCCTCTCTATCCAGAAGTCCTTCCTATACTTCCTGCCAGCTACTGGCTGTTTAGCTTTTTATTAAACCAATCACAGTGTAAAGGATTATCCAGAACACTCCCATCTTCGCCTCCCCAGTGCTGCTATTACATGTCATGGCACCCCGACTCCCGTTTTAGGGGTCAAAGTAAAATCCTCTGGCATTCAAGGAAGGCACTTTATTGACTGAGCCATGACCTTAACTTAATGGTCCATCTTTATTGTCAACAGGGGTTGAGACATGCATAGGAGATTGGTAAGGGACACTTCTAGTTATGTCTCCGGTGATATTTACAGAGAGGATTACACTTTTTAAAAAGATTTATTTTGAACTATATATGTATGCACTTTTGAGTATGGATATTTAGTAAGTGCCACCATTAAGAATGTGAATAGACAGGGAGATACGCCAATGAGGAATAAAAAAGAAATACCTGATGTATATGTTATGGTTTCTGATTTATGGGTTTTCTGTGTGTGCATGTGTCTATGTGCATATGTATTTCTTGAGCTTTTTATTTGTTTTTTTTACCCCCTCTGTTTGATTGTTTTATTCTATCTTATTTTTTCTTTTCTTTCTTTTTTTTTAGTTGCTTATTTGTTTTCTAAAGAGAAAGAAGGCATGGAGTTGAATGAGTGAGGATGTGGTAAGGATCTGGGAGGAGATGAAGAAGGGGAAACCTGTGATTAGAAAATATTGTATGAAAAATATGTTTAGTAAAAACAACAAAAAGCCAAGAAATATCACAAATACAGTAAACCATCAAATTTGACAAGATACGTAAGAAGAAATAAGCTACTTGAAAAAATCAAAATGAGATGTAAATTTATATGTCAAGTGTTGGAATAACACCTAATTTTACAAAAAGAAACCTCCACTAGACATAAAACGTAGGCCCCAGGGTAACAGCAGGTGACTTTTAATACTAAGAATAACTTAGTGTATCTGGGTAAAGCACCCCCAAATTCATGTGAGAGCACAGAAGACCAGGTAGCTAAGGAAGCGAATAAAACCATAATGGAAATAAACTAGGACATAAGGAAAACACTTTATCATATTAGCACAGGTGGATTTCCTAGATAAGATTTCAAAACTCGAGAAAAGAGTTGGCACCTGGATTACATCTAAGGGTCTGCTCGGCAAATTAGATGCTCTTCACTTTGTCCTGTCAGCTACAAAGTGGAATAGCCTGTGGTAGTCTGGATGAGAATGGCCTCCATAGATTCGTATATTAACTGTTTGGGAAGGATTAGGAAGTGCAGCCTTATTAGAGGATGTGTATCACTCTGGGCAGGCTTGAGGTATCAAAAGATTGAAGCATTGTCGATGTTCTCTGCTTGTGG